TCTGACCCAAAGTGGCTGATTAAAAAATGATCATAAATGGGAATCAGAGGTCATTCATTGTACTGGGATCACTTATAACCATTCAGGTAAATGTCAGGTTGTGGAAAAAAGGCGTTAATCTGTTAAAACTGTGCAATGCTGGTTAATAGTACTAGAGCAGCTGTCCCCAACCACCGGGCCGCGGACCGGTCCGTGGGTCATTTGGTACCGGGCCGCACAGAAAAAAGTATATATATATATTTATCGATGATCAGAGTCTGAGTGATGTTTTATTTTGAAAAATATAAAAAATTGCGGTAATCTCTCCCGATTACATCAGTCGGTGCATCTGTGCCTCTTGACACAGGTTAATTCAGTTCAAGAATCATCCTATCTATAACACCTATCTTTGTGAAGCGGGATTTTCTGCGGTTACAGCGACCAAAACAAAACTACGGAGCAGACTGGACATCAGGAACACACTTCGTCTGTTATTTTCTCCGATTACGCCTAGATGGGACCGGCTTGTTTAGTTTTTATGCTGTTTGTATTTGATTTTATGCCAGTCGTTGCTGGACTGGTCCATCCAAACATAGCCTGTTGGAAAAGATTCTTCTGTCAAACCGCTTTGAGCAGAAAATGCCTGAATTTGCTGGAGAAGTTAAGAGAAGTTAAGAGAAGTTAAGTCAGAGGGCCTGACAGACTACAGATGGAGGACCTTGAAGGGAGATTATGTTTTCATGGCTGTTAGTGGATCTAATATAAAAAGCTCAAAAAAAGAAAAGGATGTCATCAGACAGATCAGCCTCACAGGTAAGAAATGGTTCTTGTAACCTTAGATATCGGTACTTGTTTGATTAAAGTAAGAGATCTGTTCCAAAAGCCAATCATTATCAGAAAATCCACTAGAAACCAGTTCTGATCATAGGCTGTATTGTAACTTTAAAGCTAAAAACTGTACCTTAACTTAATGTTTCTATCGTGTACTTAATTATTGAATGAAGTTAATAAAAACACAAACACAGACTAAAAGGTAAATGTATTGGACAGAACTCAGAAAGAGTCTTCTAGGTCTACGTACCTAATGGTAGCTGATTTTCCTTTGGATATTTAAATATTATTGATATTGATTATCTAAATAAATTTAAAAAAATCGGTTATTTCATTTTCAGCAGTATTTTTAACTAATTTAATTTTGGATTTAGTGTCCAAGACTTGTCCATGGCCGGTCATGCCTTGGAAGCAGCCCCTATTATCATTGCAAGCGATCTACTAGTCTCTTTTGTCCTTAATAAAATCAGCAAACTCATGCAATTCCATTGTGTCTGCATTGAAAGTTTATTCAAGTGATGTTAAAGCAACACTTGTGTGTTACGTACAGCTTCCTATGTACCCTGTATGTGTCTCAAACACAGAGATCTGCACCGTAAAGGTTGCTCTGCTCCCAGTGACAGCTGACCTTCTTATTATGACTCTACTTTGTCTTCGTCTCTCTCTGATAGTGACGGAAGTGTCGTCAGCCACTGTAAAAGCAGTCTATCTACATAATGATGTGCCCCTTTTTACATCAAAAAACAATGCAATAAAAATAAAAAAATAGTCTAAAAGTACCTTTTTAAGGATAATTTTAAATCATATTTTCTCATCCACTGCTCATTTCAGTAAAAATACATTTATTTCAGCAGAACTTATTCAGTTATTTAGGCATATGCGTAATGGGAAAAGCATCTCACAAGTGCTTTAAAACAGAAGAAACGTTTCTTAGGAATTTCAAATGCAGGTTTGTTATAAATGGCTGCCATGATGGAAAGCTATTGCTGGTCACTTAGCTTTTTGTTTTTTTAATGTGTTTGTTTACTTTACTAAAAAATAAGTAGTTCTAGCGGAGAATTAAAGCACTTTAAAAAGTTCTTGGGTCTGAAAAATATTGTTACTCATGAGTTCGAATATTATATCTAACAGTTCTGCCTATATGTTTAACCTAAGCCGATAACTGTTGGTGCACATCTGGATGCATCTCGACACAGTGGAAGGTTATTGCACCTTTTCAGTACTTTGAATCACAGTGTTATGTTGTATGTATAGTACATCACTGTCCCTGTAGAACTTACCGTGGTGGAGAGTCCTGATACAGGTTGCTAATCTGTGGAAGATTCTCCCCAAAGGAGTCAATGTCTAAACCAGGAGAAAAGTCCTCTACACAGCTTGACCTCAGTTCCCCCGCAGAGCCCCCGTAGGAAAAACCATCTTGCCCTGGAAACAAAAAGATAAATATTTTATTTTATAGCGGAATCAGCTGCCTTAAATGCTTTCATTTCATCTTACATTTAACGCTCTGAAATGTCTGAAAACTGACCATAGCTGGCGCGAAAGTGTGGGTTTCTGAGTCGACTGTCCTTGCGTAAGCTGCCGATGATGATGGTGATGCAGGAGAGGAAGAGGACCAGTCCTATAACAATCCCAGCCACCACCAGCGGAGACACCAGGAGAGACGCCTCCCCTCCTGATTCCCTCTCACTCCGACAGTCTGGATACTCCCCATGGCTCTGGTTGGAGCTCACTGCAGGGAGGCAGACAGAGATGGAAAAGGTCAGACATGAGAGGATGGGAATGGTCTGGTTTGTTGCTTTTAAAGACCGTGAGGACAAAAGAGACATTTATCATAGTAGTACATTTTAGACATTTTGGAACCATTAGCCAAACGGGAAAATAAAAAATATAGAGAAATTCAGAGATGCGATAAACACTTGTGTTGTTTGAAAAAACAACTTCTTTGGATTGTTATTTCTAAAGCACACTACACTAGCTCTGATTTTGATAATCAACTGTTTACTTTAGCGCAGCTGATGACAGTTCAGCAGAGTCTAGCTTTAAAGTCATAAGGAAGCGGCTGTTCAAACTGTTGCATTTCTGAATTCTACCAAGTGGTGCACGACTTTACATGAGTG